GAGGCCCGGCTTCGTAATTTAGTATTCCGGGGAGGCCCGGCTTCGTAATTTAGTATTCCGGGGAGGCCCGGCTTCGCCGTTTTGGCCAAAAAACCCAGAAAACGAGAGCCCACCCAGAACCGTCGATTTCAGTACTAAAAAATCGCATTTTTAATAGGGACCCGGGCCGATCCTGGGGTCCCCCTCATTTGGGGTGTTTTTAGAGGCAAACTTTCCCTCTCAAGAGGGGTCGGAGTTTGAGGCCCGGCTTCGTAATTTAGTATTCCGGGGAGGCCCGGCTTCGTAATTTAGTATTCCGGGGAGGCCCGGGACCGTCGATTTCAGTACTAAAAAATCACATTTTAAATAGGGACCCGGGCCGATCCTGGGGTCCCCCTCATTTGGGGTGTTTTTGGAGGCAAACTTTCCCTCTCAAAGGGGGTCGGTTTGTGCCCAACACCATCGATTTCTGTATTAAAAAATGGCTTTTTTCATTGCGGGCCCGAGCAAATCCTGGAGGTCCCCTTCTTCTAGGGGGCCTTTTGAAGCCTTTTGGTGGCTCTTGGGGCCTCGTGGGTGCTTTCTAGTACTCTTGTGGCCCTTTTGGGGTAAAACGTTTATGATTTTTATTAAGATATCCACTACAGCAGAGAATACAAAAGCAACGAGAGAACAAGAAGCGTTCTTGTACACAGCGGCGCCACGGAGCGCAGTGACAACGAGCGATGGCGCCGCGGCCCCGAGCGCGGAATCGGTGCTCCATGCCGGGCCTACTCGGGCGTAAAAACACAACATATAAGCAGACTGTTGCCCTCTGCTTTGCCTTGTGGCCCTTTTGGGGTAAAACGTTTATGATTTTTATTAAGATATCCACTACAGCAGAGAATACAAAAGCAACGAGAGAACAAGAAGCGTTCTTGTACACAGCGGCGCCACGGAGCGCAGTGACAACGAGCGATGGCGCCGCGGCCCCGAGCGCGGAATCGGTGCTCCATGCCGGGCCTACTCGGGCGTAAAAACACAACATATAAGCAGACTGTTGCCCTCTGCTTTGCCTTGTGGCCCTTTTGGGGTAAAACGTTTATAGTTTTTATTAAGATATCCACTACAGCAGAGAATACAAAAGCAACGAGAGAACAAGAAGCGTTCTTGTACACAGCGGCGCCACGGAGCGCAGTGACAACGAGCGATGGCGCCGCGGCCCCGAGCGCGGAATCGGTTGCCCCTGCCGGGCCTACTCGCGCGTAAAAACACAACGTATAAGCAGACTGTTGCCCTCTGCTTTACTTTTCGTTTTGATTTATATTAAAATACCAACTAGAGCAGAGAATACAAAGCAACGAGAGAACAATCAAAAAAAAACCCTAAACCCTAATAGAGTAAGGTTTGGGTGGTCTTGGGGTGGGGTTTTAGCTTTCGCGCGACGCGCCGCCCACGACCCCTTGGGTCGAGGCGCGTCGCTTCAGTTGGCTAAACCCTAAACCCTAAACCCTAAACCCTAAACCCTAAACCCTAAACCCTAAACCCTAAACCCTAAACCCTAAACCCTAAACCCTAAACCCTAAACCCTAAACCCTAAACCTCTCTTACCTATATATATTTAAACCCTATAGTCGAAAAATCGACCGGCCCTGTTGGGCACTCAAGGGTCTGGCCTTGTCCTGGCCCTCGCGCGCGCGGGCCTTGGCCTTGGCTTTTTCAAGGGTTTTTCAAGGTTTCTCAGAGTATTTCAGTGTTTTTCAAGGTTTTTCAATGTTTTTCAAGGTTTTTCAGGGTTTTAACCCTCAATTCTGATGAAGGGCCGCCCCCGCGACCTTTTCACAGCGTAATTTTGGTCAAGGGGGGGTCGTATTTTTCAATTTTAAAGGCAAAATAGTCTTCTGAGACCCCCCCTTGCCTCAAACTCCGACCCCCCCTTGAGAGGGAAAGTTTGCCTCCAAAAACACCCCAAATGAGGGGGATCCCAGGATCGGCCCGGGTCCCAGGTAAAAATGCGATTTTTTAGTACTGAAATCGACGCCTCTGGGTGGCCTCTCGTTTTCTGGATTTTTGACCAAAACCGAGCCTTCACCGGCTTCAGGAATTCAAGTTTTTCACGGTTTGTCAAGGTTTCTCAGAGTTTTTCAATGTTTTTCAAAGTTTTTCAATGTTTTTCAAGGTTTTTCAGGGTTTTAACCCTCAATCCTGATGAAGGGCCGCCCCCGCGACCTTTTCACAGCGTAATTTTGGTCAAGGGGGGGTCGTATTTTTCAATTTTAAAGGCAAAATAGTCTTCTGAGACCCCCCCTTGCCTCAAACTCCGACCCCCCCTTGAGAGGGAAAGTTTGCCTCCAAAAACACCCCAAATGAGGGGGACCCCAGGATCGGCCCGGGTCCAGGTAAAAATGCGATTTTTTAGTACTGAAATCGACGGCTCTGGGTGGTCTCTCGTTTTCTGGATTTTTGACCAAAACCGAGCCTTCACCGGCTTCAGGATTTCGAAGTCCCGCCCTTTTATGGGGGCCGATGAAATGGTTCGTGGGTAGGAGGACAGGGCTTGCTGATGAGAAATGTAAACTTTTTATTTTCTTAATGTTTTGGGATTCTCTGGGTGGGTGGTTTTTTTCCGTTGCCTACACACACTGCTGGCCTAGTAAATGCTCGAACATGAGATGCTGAACCCTAAACCCTAAACCCTAAACCCTAAACCCTAAACCCTAAACCCTAAACCCTAAACCCTAAACCCTAAACCCTAAACCCTAAACCCTAAACCCTAAACCCTAAACCCTAAACCCTAAATCTAAAAACTAGAAGGAAGCAAACCCCTCCCCGGGGCGGGCCTCCAGAAGCTGGCGCCGAGACTTTTCTCGCAACGCTCGATCCACATACTCGTGTGCCTGCGAGAGGGCATACTGGGGGTCAAAAAGGGGGGAAGTTCCCGGAACCTTCAAGCTTTACACTGGTTCCGGTTTTCTTCCTACTATACAACAATCCCCGCCACTCTCTTTAAAGGTGAGCTTCAGCTCACTTTTGATGGTTCTCCACCAGTTTTCAGCTCGGAGAGGTTTTGTGAGGATATCAGCAAGTTGGGCTTCCGTCGGCACCCAGACAATCTTGCCGATGGACATAAGGTCTTCCCTGATTCCTGCTAGGTCTATGGCTAACCTCTTACAAGTCGGCACTCTAGGCACCCCATCTTTGACAAGGTGATCGTACAAGCTCCTGCAGTCGCTCAGAAAACGTAGCTCGAAACGTGACTTCTTCCTGGCCAGCTTTCCGGTCAGGAGGGTCTCCATGAACTTCGTGATGTAGTCGCCTGTTTCGGTTGCCGTGCAGCATGCCATTGTTTCTGCTGCAAAGGTCGAGCGGCATACTCTGTCACAAGCGCCACTCCGCCAGTCAACGATGCTCCCTTTGCTAGGAACTCCGCTCAGGACGCCGGAGTCTGCGAAGATGTACACACTTCCAAGCTGAGAAGCGATAGTGGAGTTGGCGCGCTTGGCCTTGGCATCTCGTCGACTCATTGCTCCAAACTGTATCAAGCCGTGGTCGTCTTCTTCTGCCGTCAAGCGATAGTACGGGTCCTCCTGGTTCTGCGGAACGTTGGCCCACCCAGCGTCATGGTAGCACAAGAGCACCGCCCGGTTGAGGTCGATCGGGTGGAACAGCAGCCCTTCATCTTTGAACTGCAGGGCACGGTTTGCCAACTGGTTGGTGAACTTGACATCGGCTATGGTCGGCTCTTTCTGTCGTTGCTGACTCATCGACACTCCAACCTGAAGGTCGGGACGACTTTGACTTGCAAGCCACGACAAAGCCCCGATGAGAGACATATTGTCGTGCTTCTGGACTTCGGAGGCCTCCTCGTGCTCGGCTACCCCCTTCTCGATCTCGACTTCGAACAGCCTCGTCCCGACGTAGCTGGACTGACCCACCTTCACATACTTCTCGAAGATCTGGATGTAGGACCCCACATAGTCGAAGCTTCCGGACTCCCATTCCCTGATAGGAAAGATCTTGCTCAACTCGTCCTTTATCATCGAACAGACATCGTCCTGGCCAATCAAGAGAACATCGTCGACATGAACCCCCAAGTATCCGACTGGGGGGGACAGAGCTTCTTCGCCAGGAGTTTCTCCAGGAAGGACCTCTTGGACCATGAAGATGCATTGATCCAATGTGCATTGCACTATCCTCCAAGTCTTCCCTTTCCGCTGGATCTCCATGTTCTTGAGCGTGCCATGGAACTTGGTCCACCAAGCCGACGGCGAGTCGACTAGGCCGAAGATGGGCTTCCGAATCCTCAGAAGTTGTTCGGGATGCAAATGACCCAAACCGGTGCAGGGTTGACGGAGATATAATTCACGAGAGAGTTCTCCTCCGCAAAGAAAAGCTGCTGTCACATCTCCTGCGTGTCCAGTCCACCCATTCTCCAGGTTCGAGGCAAGGATCTGTAGGAGGAGGTGGATTCCCAACCGAGATATCGTGGGAGCATGAGTAGGGAGGCCCTTCAGGAGGTCGGGGTCTTTGTGCCCACTTATCACTAACCTCGCCTTGTGCTTCCAACCGACATCTGGTTGTTCACGACGACGACTCCACAGTTTATCGCGGTAAGCGAACCTGCTGTTGAGGACCCTGTCGCTTCGAGTTCTCCAAACTTCACGGCTTTGTTCCACCGTCAAAGGCTCCAAGGCACCATGCTCAACATGTTCTTCCCACTGTTTCATTTCTGCAGCTCGGAATCCTTCATGTTGTTCTGGCGGGATCATGTTCCAGGGCAACTCTTTCTCCAGGGCCTTTTCCTTTGCCCTAGGGGTTTTGGGGAGCTTGAGCATGAGCACATCCCTGACCCGATCATCTTCGCGAGGGGGCCCTTTCGTTCTGTGTCGTTTGGATACCTGAGGAGGGGGATCTTCTGATGCACGTCTCCGATCACCATCGCCAAGAGACACAGAAGCACCTTCTCGTCCATCTCCTGGATGTAGAACTGGTTCTTCATCTCCCTCATCATCTCCGGCATACATCTCCTCGTCTGCGAAGTCGTGCTCCAAGAGGCGTTGCAAATCCTCCTGTGTTGCCCGGAGGGCGAAAGCCGCCCCCAGCTCTTCTCCGCTCGCCATACGGAGATGTTCTGGTGCAACGAGATGGCACCTCCCGGAAAAGGATACCCAGAAGTTCGGACCTTCTCTGCCAATGATCACTCCTGGACCATGCCATTCCCAATTCTTGTTGTTCTTGGGCTTCCGATAAAAGAAAACGTGCATCCCAGTCTGGAACTCGGGCCCCGCCACTCTAGACCGTTGCAGCAGAGCACGACGTAGTCTGGCATCATTTTGACAGCGGAAGTAGACCTCTTTGGCGGACACCCGGAGGGAGTGTTCACGGGCTCGTTGTCTGTCTCGGCTAAGGATGTGCTCCACGTGTTCGTCGTGCGGGCCATCCTTGAGGTCTTCGGGGAGATTCGGATCTCGACCCCAAACAGCCTGGGAAGGGCTATAACCAGAATCCCGTCTCAAAGTGTTCATGGCGGAGTTCACAGCGGTGAGGAGCATGCCCGACTCATCGATGGTGCCAGAGCGCTCGTCGACAAGTCGCGACCAGACCTCCTTCCAGGTTCTAATGCATCTCTCCACGGACCCCTGCTGCCAGTGAGCTTGTCCTGCAATAGGTCGGATGAAGGTCCCATGCCACTCGCTGAACCTTGCCAAGCCCTTCTGGAGCCCGGATTCGAGGTCCAAAACCATGGATCCAGGAGCTCCAAAAGTGTTGCTCCACATCTGACAAAAAGTCCCTTCCATCGCCTCTCCAGAGTGCCCTTGTAGTTCTCCAGCGATCGCATAGCCAGTACCGATATCAATTGCCATCAGCAGCTCAAGCTTATCCCCGTGGCAATCGTACACGGTGAAGGCATCCACAGCAACGACTTGGTTGAACTCCAGAAGGTTAGGCATACTCGATGGTTTTGCGCTGCCCCCCCCTCTTGTTCCTCTGGCAAACTTGGCATTTGATCTTCTTGCAGGCCTCCACAACGACCGGGTCGGCCCCAGCTAAGCGGAGATGGCGAGCGAGATCGGAGTTGGAAGGATGGCCCATGTTCTGATGGAGTCTCTTCAGAGAAGAACGAACTTCCGCGGCAAGCTTGTGGTCGCCCTCGAAGGTGATAGCTTCGGCTCCTCGTGGGACCTCGTCGATCTCCTCAACGGTTGTCTTCTGTCCTTCGACCATGTAGGACTGGAACTCCTTGACAGGGAGATCAATGTTCTCCCAGGGCACATGATGGTAGTCGTTGAAGCGTAGGACGTGGGGTTCATCTTCTCTCGTTGAGTACCTGCCCTCGAACTTGTAGTAGAAGGAGACGAAGTCTTGTTGCACCCAAAAGGGATCACCACGTTCTGCCTCAAACACCACGTTCTTCCCAAGCTCTATTGCCTCTTGGAGAGCTCCACCGATTTCCGGAAGGAATGCGGACACAGCGGGGCCATGCACCCACACCACAGCGGGCTTGAAGTATTCAATCGTTCCTGACACTTCACTCCCATTCATCGTTCCATCTTCTCGAGTGAGTAGAGGCTCTGCAGTGTCGAAACCCATGTCTCCGACCTCCACAGTTTTAGAAAACCCCCCAATCTCGAAAAGGCTCACAGCCTCGCGACCTCTGGACAAGGGGAAGAACTCGGTGGACCAATTGAAAGCAGCAGCCGAGCACCAGCTGGTCAGAGCAACGAGCCTCGTTACATTCTTCCACAACGACTTCCTGGTGCTCTTCCTGGGCCTGTCTGTGCGCGGAAAGGAGTGTGCGTCACCCTGAGAGGCATCTCCAGGTAGAGGTAGTCCACGAAGAGGAAAACGCAGATCTCGGAGTTCATCTCGAAGTCCGACAGAGCTCTTTGCAAATCCCCTTGTGGTGAAGCATGACAAAGTCCATCGCTCGCCTACCCAAGGCTGGGTTGCGTGTCGGACCTTCCCGTCAAAGGAATAGGGGTTCATACGAGTGTTCACGAGGTGCCCCTCAATCTCCTTTCCGTGAGGGTCGCTTCGAAACACGGGACAAGAAGCATCTTCCTGCACGGGCTTCCCTTCAACCCACAGTTCGCCGCCGGAAAAGGGTCCGAAGGTCACGGTCGTCACCAAGGTGTTAGCCAAGTTGTGGACGTCGGCATGGACCTGGGTAGCCGCGTTCCGGAAGAGCACGAAAGACGACCATGCCCCCCGGTGCCTTGTTCTCATGAAGGAGTTGATGTACTTGGTGGTCCACGGCAAAGCCCGACTTCCCCGAGAAATCCCAATGAAGCTCCCGTACGTGTACATGCCACCGAGGAAGATACCGTAGACTTCCTTGCCTCCACGGTTGGTGGCCTTGTCGGTCTTGGTGTAGCGCAGGGGGATCTTCTCGGCAAGCTGGAGAAGGTCGTCATACTCAAAGTGCTTGTTTCGGAGCTTCTCTTTGGCGAGGTCTTCACAGCGACTGCACCGGGCTCGGAGGGTTTCTCTCTTCTCCTCATCAATAGGACCAGGGGAAGACTCCATCACCTCGGGGGTCTCACGCACGCTGTCATCTTTGCTGCCTCCAAGGTTCATATCTCCAGCTTCAGCGACGTACACATACTCATGGAGGAAGTCGTCGCGGTCCTCAGCAAAGTCCTCTTCCCGAGGAACTGGGCTCTGACTTCCTGTGAACTGAATGTCCTCACCCTCTTCACACTCGTGGAACTCGCCCTCGTCGTCATTCAGGTAGCACTCCTTCGCCCCATCCTTCACTGTCCCTCCCGTGGCATCAGTCCATGGCGATCCCGAAGAATGGCAATCCTTTCCTCCAGGTGTTGCAGCTCGTCGGATATCTCCTCGGGCACGTCCTGGTCCATCCGGCTGGCAACCGAACTCGCCACTGATCCCGGTCCTCGTCGTCTCGGCGGCGTTCTTGTGGAAGGAGATGGGGGAGCCGCCTTCGATGTCGTCATCGTGGTGAGGTCGTTGGCGTAGGTCGTCACGAAGGCCCACGAGCTCCCGGCGGTCGAGTCCTCCACGTACGGGGTCACTGCATTCGCCTCTGGATCGTGGTATCCCGGGGTCGCAGTGGGATTCCACCGGTGCATCTCGCTTTTCCACCAGTTGGCGTAGGCCACCAGCTCCTCGGATGGGCTGTCGTTCATCTCCACCTCCTTCAGCGCCCAATTCCGGTAACTCGGAGGGGTTTCCTTGTACATGAGCCCCTTGTATCTCCCGAAGGGCATGAGACTCTGGGGCCCCTCCCCACCCTGGCCCCGGAGAAGGCGCAGCAAAGCCCCTTTCGTCGGATAGGCTGGAATGAGGAGCCCAGCTTCCATCGCCCGCTCCTTCAGTTGCTCCAGGTTCAGGTTCTGCAGCCCGGCGAGGTCCGTCGAGGTTCCCTTGTTCCTGTCCTCTTGGATCGCAGAACGAAGCTCCACCACGCTCCACTTCTCGTGGACCAGGAGATTCCGGGCACGGGCCTCCGCCAGCAATTCTGCTTTCGTGAACTCGGTGATGGTCTTCGGGCGATTCACCATGGGCGAGGTGAGGAGGTCCTTGCGAGACGCCATGGGGGGTCGAAGGCAAAGTACGCGAGAATGAAGACATGTGCTTTCTGCGAGAGAAAACGCTCCGGCCGATCCATAACATTGGGAAAGCACTGTCATCTTGGGGAGTGTCCCATGTTCCATGCACTGCGGGGAAAGCTCGATGGTTCTTGCAAGCCACTCCGAAGGTCGAACGTACCGATCCCAAGGTCCTGAGAAGAAGGTCCTTATGTTGAAGATTTTGGGTGGCCCAATGCAGCGGACCGAAAAACGATCTCCTAGGAATGACATGGACTCGGACCAGGTAATCGGCATCCTCAAGCCAGAAATCGTTCGTGATGTTGCTGTTAGACCACCATGCTGCAAAGGTTTCGGGGGAAAAATTCTCATCGAGGAGCATTCCCTTAGTGACAGCGTTGATCTTTTTGGGGTAGAACAAGGCGGTGAAGGTCTTATCGCAAGAAGTACTCAGAGATAGGGAAGCAGTGTCGTCGTGGAGCCTGGAGGCCTCATCGGAATCCACCATCCAGCTAGTACTGAAAGTCCCGAAACACTTTGCAACCTCAGTGAAATCCTGACCCCCGCCACAAAGAAGTCCCCTTCCCCCACTCTCATCGGACATGTGGTCAATATATTGCTCCCCGTGCGAAAGGATCTGGAGCTCGTTATCCTCCCACTCAGCACTGCTGGCTCGGTGGGGCGGAACAGAGATGGGAAAGATGGGGAAAGCAGGGTGACCCGTATCTGTGTTGGTCAGCTGCATGTCCCGAACATCAAGGGCGCGAAAGGTGGCCCGGTTCTCACTGACGTCGATGACCATCCCCATCTTCGCCATGGCCCCTCTGGAGATCAAGAGGGGGACCTCACCATTGACCACGGCGACCTTGAGAGCCAACTTGTGGGAACCCAGCCTGAACCCCACCAACACTCCATAGTTGGCCACGAAGACCTTTGAGGCACCGAACTTGAAGGCTTCCTTGCACGGAAGGAAATGGGGCTCTCCTCCATTCTTACGGATCTCGGCGAGGTAGGCATCCATCCACCCAGCCCCAGCGACGGACCGGGCGCAGGCGGTGTCCGTGATGCCCACGAGCTGGTAGCCCGACTTGTCTGAGATGTCCCAAGTGACGTGGACCACATGGCAGGGAAAGTTGGTCTTGGCACCTTCCTTACCTCCTTGGCCTCCAGTTCCGCCAGTCGTAGCCGAGGTAGAAGACGGATTTCCACCGCCCGAAGAGCGATTCAAAGGGCACACACTGTCGAGATGCCAGTGCCCCCTGCGTTTACATCCTGAGCAAAAACTGCGGGCCTTTGCTGCCTGCAGCTTCTCGGCAGCAAGGCGTTTCAGGCTTTCTGCATCACTGCCCCGGAGCTTTGCCGTCTCCCTGTAGCGCTGTTTGGCCGTCTCATGGGTGAGGAAAGCCTGGTAAAGGTCATTTGCCACCTCCTCGGGGATCGGACTCTCTCCGCCGTCATCATCATCTCCAGCGAAGTCGCCAGCGTAGGAGCCTTCCTCAAAGTCGGCGACGTTCGCACCATAGGGCTTCTTGACGGGCCTTTCCTTCTTAGGATTCTTGCCTCCGCTTTCCCACGGTTTCCGCATACCCCTGTCGTGGACGATCGCCGCCTGCTGCAAGTCCTTGAGGGAGTACTTGTTGCCGACGGAGGCGAGAAGGTTGAGCTCCGCCTGCTCTTCCAGCCCCATCCTATCCACGAAGACCCAAGCCGCCGCCACATCTGGGAGCTGACACCCAGCTTCCGAAAGCCTGGAGAAAGCCCGGTCGAAGTCCGCCATGTAGTCTCTCACCGACTGGTTCTGCTTGCGACGGAGCTTCCTGAAGAACTCCGAAAGGCTCCTCCCCACTTGGGTGACCTGGACATCCAGGTACCGATCTTGGATCCACGAGATCAGGTAATCGACCCCGTCATCGCTGCCCAGTCGGTTGACATCGAGTCGTTCTGAGTCCACCCAAGCACGGTCAGTGAGGTGTTGGTAGAGGGTAAGGCCTTGCTGGTCCTTGGACATCCTTGTCATTCTCCTCCATGCCGCAACCTGTCGTAAGTAGGACCTCGCTGAGGTCCCCAGATCATCTGAGCCAGTGTCCAGACCCGAAAAGGAAGGAACGATCATACGTTCCGAAGGTCCTCTAGAAGACTCGTGGCCCCCGTTCCCGCCAGAGAGCCGGCGAGCTTCTGTTGAAGGTCCCCAACCGACAGGTACTCCACGATCGTCGCCTGGTGGAGCTCGAGAATCGCCGCACGAGTCGCGTCTCGCCCACTGATCTGAGTGCGACCCTTTGGAGTCCCTTTCCTGAAAACCGCCATCCATGGAACCAACTGATCCGGTAGAGGCGGATCCTTGTCCTCCATCCTTCTTCTGCTCATCATAGCCATCGTAGTAGCCCGAACTCCAGCCACCACGACCCCACTTCCAATCAGCTGCCCCCCACGAGCGGTTCCATTGACTGTCGAACCAATCATGGTCCCTCCAAGGCCCCCAAGAGGCCCCATCCGGCTGAACATCAGCCGCCTGCGAACGATCACCACGAGGTTGGGGGTTTGGTACATTGCCGGGAACATTCGCATCTCCGCCATGCCCTGGGCCTTGCGGAGAATCGTCACTAGGAGGCGGAACATCAGCCCACTCGGAGCGCGCATAAAAACTGGTCGGCACATCGAAAGCCATGGCACAGCAAGACTAAGTAGCGAAACCCTTGGAGCACTCAGTGCTCCGCTACCAATCTAAAAACTAGAAGGAAGCAAACCCCTCCCCGGGGCGGGCCTCCAGAAGCTGGCGCCGAGACTTTTCTCGCAACGCTCGATCCACATACTCGTGTGCCTGCGAGAGGGCATACTGGGGGTCAAAAAGGGGGGAAGTTCCCGGAACCTTCAAGCTTTACACTAAACCCTAAACCCTAAACCCTAAACCCTAAACCCTAAACCCTAAACCCTAAACCCGCCCACCACCCCTCTCCTTCTGTAGGTAGGTGGGCGCTGTCGAGCGATCAGCGAGACCTTAGCAGGCTCTGCTGGGCTGCAGAGCCTGCCAGGCTCACCCCTGAAGGGGTCGCCAAGCTAAAGTCGCCTAGCTTGGTCACTGAGTATATTGTATTACCCTAAAGCCTAGCCGGTGGATCCTTTTTAACAGGGGCCCTGGCCCTTGCCCTGGCCGGCCCTGGCTCTGGCCCTGGCCCTGGCTGGTCCTGGCCCTGGCCCTGGCCCTGGCCTGGCCCGGCCCCGGCCCTGGCCCTGGCCCTCCTGTGGGCGCTGTCGAGCGATCAGCGAGACCTTAGCAGGCTCTGAGAGCCTGCCAGGCTCACCCCTGAGGGGTCGCCAAGCTAAAGTCGCCTAGCTTGGTCACTGTGCCAAGTGCATTGTGCTAAGTGCATTGTTCCATGTGCCAAGTGCATTGCGCTAATGCACTTCCAAGTGCATTGCGCCCAAAGTGCCTTGCGCTCGTGTGCACGTGCCTGTGTCAGGTGCATTGTGCCAAGTGTGCCAAGTCCAAGTGCATTGCGCCGCCATAGTGCCAAGTGCATGGCGCAGGTGCTCTGTGCCAAGTGCGTTGTTCCAGGTGCATTGCGTAGTGCGTTGTTCCAGGTGCATTGCGTCAGTGCCAAGTGCATTGCGCCAATGTGCCAAGTGCATTGTGTCAAGGCCATCTGCATTGTGCTCATGTACCCGTGCATGTGCCAACTGCTTCTAGGGCTACGTGCATTGCGTCAAGTCCGTTGTGCCCAGTGCATTGTGTCAAGGTAAGAGCCGCGTTGCTGTGCCAAGTGTGTTGCACCAAATCCATTGCGCCAAGTCCGTTGTGCTAAGTGCACTCTGCCAAGTGCATTGCGCTAAGTGCATTGTCCCATGTGCCAAGTGCATTGTGCCAAGTGCATTGTTCCAAGTGCATTGCGCCCAAGTGCATTGTGGCAAGTGCGTGCCAAGTCCATGCTCTGTGCCAAGTGCATTGTTCCAGGCGTGCATTGTGCCAAGTGCATTGCGCAAAAGGGCATTATGCCGAAAGGCATTCTGTCAAGTGCATTGTGCGGCGTGTGCCAACTGCAGTATAGTGCCAAGTGCATTGCGCAAGTGCTCTGTGCCAAGTGCATTGTGCCAAAGGGCATCGTGCCAAGCGCCTTGTGCCAAGTGCATTGCGCCAGCTGTGTTGTGCCGAGTGCATTGTGTCAAGGCCATTGTGCGCAAATGCCACAAGCACTCGCAGTGTTTTATCTTAGTGTCTTATCTTAGTGTCCTCTAAACATGTTCGAGGTGTGAAATCTGAAACATTCGCAGTGTTCTGTCTTAGTGTCCTCTAAACATGTTCGAGATATGAAAATTGAATGGCTGGCTTGGCTTTGGCTGGCTCCGGTTTGGTTCCGTGATGAGTAGTGTTTGGGTGGCCTCGGGGTGGGCATGTCTTCATACTATTGCGTTCAGCTGACCAATGCTACACCCTAAACCCTAAACCCTAAACCCTAAACCCTAAACCCTAAACCCTAAACCCTAAACCCTAAACCCTAAACCCTAAACCCTAAACCTCTCCTACCATATAATTATAAACCTTAATGGTATTCGTGGGCAAGGCCCAAATATTCGTGGGCAAGGCCCAAAGATTCGTGGGCAAGGCCCAAATATTCGTGGGCAAGGCCCAAAATCCGGATTTTGGGCCTTGCCCACGAATTTTTGGGCCTTGCCCACGAATTTTTGGGCCTTGCCCACGAATTTTTGGGCCTTGCCCACGAATTTCTGGGGTTGCTGGTTCGTGGGCAAGGCCCAAAAATTCGTGGGCAAGGCCCAAATATTCGTGGGCAAGGCCCAAATATTCGTGGGCAAGGCCCAAATATTCGTGGGCAAGGCCCAAATATTCGTGGGCAAGGCCCAAGTATTCGTGGGCAAGGCCCAAATATTCGTGGGCAAGGCCCAAGTATTCGTGGGCAAGGCCCAAAAATTCGTGGGCAAGGCCCAAGGCCCACAATGCCCTTGAGACCCTAAACCGTTGAGCCCCTAAACCCTTGAGACCCTAAACACTTGAGACCCTAATTAGGGTTTCAGGGCCTCAAGGCCTGGCGTTTAGGGTTTCAGGGCCTCAAGGGTGGCCCCAAGGCATGGCGTTTAGGGTTTTTCTGTGTTTAGGGTTTCAGGGCCTCAGGGCCTGTGTTTAGGGTTCCAGGGCCCAGCGTTTAGGGTTTCAAGGCTTCAGGGCCTGTGTTTAGGGTTTCAGGGCCTCAGGGCCTGTGTTTAGGGTTTCAGGGCCCAGCGTTTAGGGTTTCAAGGCCTCAGGGCCTGTGTTTAGGGTTTCAGGGCCTCAGGGCCTGTGTTTAGGGTTCCAGGGCCCAGCGTTTAGGGTTTCAAGGCTTCAGGGCCTGTGTTTAGGGTTTCAGGGCCTCAGGGCCTGTGTTTAGGGTTTCAGGGCCCAGCGTTTAGGGTTTCAAGGCCTCAAAGCCTGTGTTTAGGGTTTCAGGGCCTCAGGGCCTGTGTTTAGGGTTCCAGGGCCCAGCGTTTAGGGTTTCAAGGCTTCAGGGCCTGTGTTTAGGGTTTCAGGGCCTCAGGGCCTGTGTTTAGGGTTTCAGGGCCCAGCGTTTAGGGTTTCAAGGCCTCAAAGCCTGTGTTTAGGGTTTCAGGGCCTCAGGGCTTGTTTTTATGGTTTCAGGGCCCAGCGTTTAGGGTTTCAAGGCCTCAGGGCCTGTGTTTAGGGTTTCAGGGCCTCAGGGCCTCAGGGCCTGTGTTTAGGGTTTCAGGGCCCAGCGTTCAGGGTTTCAAGGCCTCAAAGCCTGTGTTTAGGGTTTCAGAGCCTCAGGGCCTGTGTTTAGGGTTTCAGGGCCCAGCGTTTAGGGTTTCAAGGCTTCAGGGCCTGTGTTTAGGGTTTCAGGGCCTCAGGGCCTGTGTTTAGGGTTTCAGGGCCCAGCGTTTAGGGTTTCAAGGCCTCAGGGCTGTGTTTAGGTTTCAGGGCCTCAGGGCCTGTGTTTTTTAAGGTTTTCAGGGTTAGGGTTTAGGGTGTTTTTCAAGGCCTCAGGGCCTGTGTTTAGGGTTTCAGGGCCTCAGGGCCTGTGTTTAGGGTTTCAGGGCCCAGCGTTTAGGGTTTCAAGGCCTCAGGGCCTGTGTTTAGGTGTTTAGGGTTTCAGGGCCTCAGGGCCTGTGTTTAGGCTTTCAGGGCACAGCGTTTAGGGTTTTCAAGGTTTCAGGGGCATGTGTTTAGGGTTTCAGGGCCTCAGGGCCTGTGTTTCGGGTTTCAGGGCCCAGCGTTTAGGGTTTCAGGGCTTCAGGGCCTGTGTTGAGGGTTTCAGGGCCTCAGGGCCTGTGTTTAGGGTTTCAGGGCCCAGCGTTTAGGGTTTCAAGGCTTCAGGGCCTGTGTTTAGGGTTTCAGGGCCTCAGGGCCTGTGTTTAGGGTTTCAGGCCCAGCCGTTTAGGGTTTCAAGGCCTCAGGGCCTGTGTTTAGGGTTTCAGGGCCTCAGGGCCTGTGTTTAGGGTTTTCAGGGCCCAGCGTTTAGGGTTTCCAGGCCTCAGGGCCTGTGTTTAGGGTTTCAGGGCTTCAGGGCCTGTGTTTAGGGTTTCAGGGCCCAGCGTTTAGGGTTTCAAGGCCTCAGGGCCTGTGTTTAGGGTTTCAGGGCCTCAAGGCCTGTGTTTAGGGTTTCAGGGCCCAGCATTTAGGGTTTCAAGGCCTCAGGGCCTGTGTTTAGGGTTTTAGGGCCTCAGGGCCT